ACTAATTATGGTGCATGATTGTCCAGCGCAAACGCCCTCATGAAATCTCATGAACATCGCGCACGACGCAGATTGTGGCATATGCACCCATGTTCGATTGGTACGACCGACTGTCCCCGTTGAGGATACCAGCTGCGGACTGAGCCACCCAGGTACTCCTCTTAGCAGGTACGCTTACACCTCTGCTACTCATGGTCTTCGTTGGTCCCAGCATGAGTACCAGACCTGGGACCCCCTGCATTGCAAGAAACCTACAAAACATCCGTCGCAAGGTTTATCGCACGTACAGCAGAACTACACAAACAACGAAGAGAAAAGCAAAAGAAATGCGACAAGAGGGCTCCCGTTTCAGGCGTCCCATGCCCGTTACCGGGAATACGTGGCCTGCTTGTTGAGGGTGGAATCGAAGCGCTCGAGATCCGTGCCTTGGCCGATCGATGCAAACCTTGAGAGACAAGAGATACTAGGAGTCATCGAGGAGGAGACGCAAGCCATCCATTTTCAGAAGCCCCTCCTGCATATTGCGGAAGACCTGCAGCCGTATTTTTTGTCTCTGTTCAGAAACCGGGCAAAGAGTCCCGAGACACTGGCATGGTCCATGTCAATGAGCTTCCTAGAGTTGGCCTGAGACCGTCAAGTCTTGTCACACTCTGATCAGGCGCAGTATAGCCACAGGACGGCGCTTTGGCAAGATCCCACAAGCCATCGATCTGCACGAGTGTTCCCGCTGCTGCCTTTCTACGAGTGCTTAGGTTCGGTTGGGAGCACCACCACAGACATGCTGGTCAAACAGGCGATTGCGCCTCCACATGTGGTTCCATGAGCCGCGTGCAGATCGCCTGCACGGAACCTGCGAATTCTGACTCTCACACATGCGGCATCTCGCCTTGCGCAGAGTCGCAGAGACTCTTAGGCAAGGACGCTCAACCTCGGCCAGAAGCATAGCCGTTGATATTTCCTGGCCACATATCACCAAGCTGATGCCAGGAAGCGAGACTCTCACAACGCCTAGGCAAGTCTCTGCATGAACACGCCGGTGTTGCAGAGTTGGCATCTTCAACACCAGCTCGATGCATAGGGCTCTCGGCACGATGTCGTTAAGCTGTGGGGGCTGTACCATCTGTACCGCTGCTTTAAGCTCAGGATGAACTGGCTCAGGAAGCGAAGCTTGAGGTGGCAACGGCGAGGTGAAAGCCGTAGGTCGTCAAAGCAACAGGAAACAAACCCTACTGTGTTTCATGAAACAGGAAACCGGCAATTTTTCATTGTAGGATCGATTGGCCTCGAGCGCCATGTATGACAAACCGCAAGCTTAGGCGGTCGCATGCTGCACTGGTGGCAGCTTCTGGCAAAGCTCCAGGATTGCAAGGTTCCAACAGTTCGTTGGGTCAGTTGTTCATGTGAAACGAGCCGATAGTTTTGGCTTTAAAGAATTCGGATGTGACAGTTCCTGGATCGTCGTAGCTCTGAACCGCTGCCTTGTCTATGTACCACACGGCGTCAGCTTTGTGAGCTTCCGTTTCGGCCTCCACGGTGAAGAAGCCTTGGAGGAACACACTTCAAGAGCCAGACCGACTGGCCACCAAAAAAAAGAGAGAGACCTCTCTTGCAATATGCCTTACTTCTTAGGACCCTGGCATGTCCGGGGCCGGCGGTGCTTCTTGTTCTTCTCCGGGAGCTCGAGGCCCCGCAAATGCACGTGCTCTTGCAGCAGCTCCAAGACCAACTCCCCCGTCTTCTTGTCGTAGTGGTGCCTCAGCTGTTTCAAGGGCTGCTCTCTTTTTGGACGTTTCAGGGGAGTTCAAGGTCAATGCAGTTTAGGCCGGGCCAGGTGCAGGGGTCGCTGAAGCACCAGAACTTCCGGATTCATGATGAGAGCTCGCGCGAGGTGGAGCTTAACCTTCTCTGAATAGGTGAGGCTTTCTTGCCAGAGGCTGTCGGAACCCTTGAAGTCTTTCTCCCCCTCCTCCTCCTCTCCTGAGTCTTCGTCCTCCTCCGCGTTTGGTGACGGTACTCCTCGCAGCTTCTCCTGCTTCTCTAAGTCGTCCTTAATCAGGTCCAGTGTGACCTTCATCTTCAACCGCTCACAGATCTTGCGGACCCGGCGCGGGTCCACTGTCTGAGGGTTTGGACAGCCGAAGATCAGGTTCTGCCACGCAGACAAGTTCAGAATATATGCCTCCTGCGTCACGTGCAATATCCTCAAGTGTGAAGGGATGAAGATGGTCCCATCCTGAGGGAACACCATGTGCCCAAGCAATTTCAGAAGGGTCCTCAGCTGCGCCATGGCTTAGGTCACGATCCCTTGGACTGCTTTCGCGTTGCTCAAACCCGGGGCGAAACCAGCAAAGCATGTCAACCACAGCAACCTCATCTGCATTCCAGCTAAGTTTCGCCTTCCCGGACCCGTGCGAGCCCATCACAGCCACCAGCTTGCCCTGGTCGACGGAGGCATCCACATTCTCAAAGATAGGCTCGTGCCGCATCCATCCGTAGAACATGCCAGACAGCCTTGCTGAACACTGCTGTCACTGTCTCAGTTCTTGGACCTGGTTTTAGTATGCTGAGCGCTGGTGCTTTGACGATTTACTGCTCACTCGGGATCTCTTTGGGTATGTGCTCATTTCCGGTAACTCTGTATCGTAGACATTGCGCAGCCTGTTCGACCAAGCTTCTTGATTGGAATCAGGTCCGTCTTGTACAGGACCTCGGTCCCACCGTCAGCGCCATCCGATGCCGCTGCACTGCTGAAAGCCTTGTCCCTTGCTTCCTTCCTAAGCTGGCTTTGCACGTTTCTGAGAAAAAAACACTCCCCGGTCTCTCGCCTACTCTCTGACTTCCTGCACGGACATTGCCGCATGCACGGAAGCGCTTGCGAAGCCAAGCGACGTCAGCTCTCTGCGCTTGCGGTTGACTCCCTTCCAGGTCAGCAGGTCTGTGTCCTTGTTGAAATAGCTCGTCAGGTACTGAATAGATGCGAATGTGTCCGCCAGCTCGAGAATCATGTTATATGCATCCGCGAACTCGGAGCTGACGTCCTTCATGACTTGTATGGTTGCCAAGAAGGTTCCCAGGGAGATGGTCCCTTCAAACACGCTTTTTGCATCCATGGCTATGTAAATACTGACGAAAACTGGCCCCAACCATTTGGGAAAGTATTCGTTGTTGACAGCTTCAACCTTCTCCGGAATGTACTCCCGCCGCAGCTCATTCGTCTGTCGAGCAAAGATCTCGTTCATCTGGGGCCGCTGGAAGTAGTCGGCAATGAGACGGTATCGCTGGCAGACCTCGGCAGCCAAAGCCAGAACAGAGGCCTCGATGTCCTTGCGGTCATCTCGGTTCAGCGGCATGCACGTCTTGTACCTTCGCTGACACAGCAGGCCCCTCAATGGCCTCACAGAGCCGAAAAAAAAGGCCTTCCGAAGCAGCCGCGCCACGCCAGAAAAAGTGCCATCAGGGATGGCATGGCCAAGATCAAGTAGATAGCTGCTGGATTCTCTCGCAGGGTGAAGTAGGTGAACACTCCCAACCTGCAAGCCGACGTGGATCGATCAGCTTTGCGTGCAGGCTCCGCTTGCAGACAAGTTGCTGTCCGAACTTCTGGAAGAGATCTATCAGCTTGGTGTAGCCCTCTGCAGCGCTTTTGGATCCCATGCTCAGCGCGTGCTGCATGTCCGTCGGAGGCACGGAGAGTCGCGACTCCTCGCCTCAAAGCTTCAGCAATGAATCCCAAAAGAGCTTTCAGCACTGTTTCAGTCCGAGGGGCTGTAATTGAGGTAGCGGCGGAAGAGGCTGGCCTGAAGGTAAAGCCTCAGGTGTCCCTGCACGTCGAGCAGTGCCTTCACCAGGTCCCAAGCATGGAGCACCAGCATCGGGGCCACGTATAAGCCAGCAATAACATAGGCCGTGTCAAGTCGGGAGGGTAGAACAAGCCGCTCCTTTGTTTCTGGGTCGTTCATGTTGAACAACACATCCACCAGGTAAATGTTCAGACACAGGACGAAGTACCGGTAAACATTCCTCAGCTCGTCTTCATTACGTACGGGAAAGCCGCGTCGAAACGTCTACGTGTAGCTCTTCGTCCATACTCCCGTAGTTATCTTGGCTGGAATGTTGCCTCACCCTCATTCGAAAACACATACCCAAATTTCCGGGATGCGTCTGGCATGCTTTCGAAAACAACTTACAACCCGAGGTACAAAGCTCCAGGGATACCAGGATTCAATCACGGTTCTGCGAATCGCACTCAATATCCCAGGTCTTGAAGTATTGAAATAAACACTGAAATAAACTGCATTCCCCTTGCGGAAATCCCTACGGAAATGAAATAAACACAATGCAAGCTCTCAGCGCAGCTGGGACTTATAAGGCTGCCATCAAGCTGACCTCAGCAGTCCGGCACAACGAAAGCTCTGAATCCTGCAACCCAGCCTTAAGCCCTAATGACCCCTACACCCCCTCCCCTTTGAAGTTGCACCCCAGCGACTTCAATTGATCAAAGACCAAGGTGAGGACGGTGCGAACGGCAATACCGGGGACCTGGAAGAAGCAGAGCTTCCAGTACTCCCAGTAGAGGCCGGTTGAACCTGGGCAAGAGAGGAGTTTTCTAGGTTGAAGTGACTGAGAGTTGCTGTTTAGGGTTCTTGCTGTTGAACGGTTTACGTCAGCTGCTTGCGTTCGCAATACCAATCCGGTTCAAACGGAATTCCATGGGTGCGCAGTTTCTGCCAGCGGGGTGGATTCCACAATTACACCACATTCTCCCCTCCCTCTCTATGCAACACCCATGGGGCAGACCTGCGCACGATTGAGGGTTTGGATTTCTGAGAATCGATTTGGCCTGTTCAGACAGTTCCCAGATGACTGCGACAGCAAGCCTTGCTCAAGTAGAGCAGAAGAACATGTCAAGGACTGTGCCTGAAGCCAAGGTGCTGATTTGATCAAGTCCCTCATCTCCCATCCTTAGGGTCAAGTTGTACAAGCTTTTGCTAGACTTGCTTGGAACACACATGCAAACAGTACATGGCTTCGGCTTACAAGATTCTTGAGCTGATCCTCGTACTTGCTCGACGGAAAAGTGTCGGTGTCAATGATCTTTACCCGGCAGGTGTGCAAGTGATTACCTGGGCTCCCAAGGGCTTTCCGCAGCCTCTCACTGTCCAGTAACCAGTAAACTCTGACCCTCTGAGCCAAAAGCCCAGGTTGCAGCCGTCCGGATCCATCAAGCGCACCTGTCTTCTTTCTATGGCTCTCTCCGCCCCGTCCCCTCAATCAGGCGTGCCTTAAATTCCATGGTTGCGGACCAGTATTGGCTTGCGATCATATTGATTTCGATGGACTGTCGATACCTCGACAGGTGCGGCCAGATGATGGAGAAGGCAGCTCTGAGCAGAAATGCCACCAGGATTCTCCTGATCCGCGAAGATGACCTCCCCAAACGTCTCCTCATACGAAACTCCTGCTTTGGCAGAACCATCTTCCTGATAGCGGGCTGAGGACATAATTGCATTAGAGTTTAGTGCGTCAGCGTCGGTATGACCCATCGCGATCAGCAAGAACTTCTACTTCGGACAACCTTTTGTTCATGCCAAAGCCAAGCAGCTGTCGTATAGCGGACTTTGACAGAACCTTTCATTGATCCTAAGCGCATGATGTCCACGGTCAAACGCCCCTCATCTTCTTCGGCATAGTAGATCCTCAGCGACCAAAAACCATCATGTTCCTTTGTAAGTTGTGAAAATCTTCGCATTTCAGATGTGCATCAAAGGAGCGCAGTCGTAAACTGCACAATGTCCTTAGCTGTGTGTTCGATGGGCGATGACCTCTCGTTTCGAAGCAATGCGACATCATCTGGCCAGTGTCGGCATCTGTTCGCGTGCGCTTCAACCTTCCACTGGACGTCGTCGACAAAGAGCCTTTGGAGCGTAGGAGCGGAGGGAGGGACTCAGAGATCACAGAGAGGTAGAGAGAGAGAGGGAGAGAGAGAGAGAGAGAAAGAGAGAGAGATCATACTTATATATATATATATGTTGTGCATATATATGATATATGTATACATATATATCTAGTAGATATA